ATTCAACTAGCATGCAATACAATAGACTCATAAACCTACGAACGGTACCCGAAACATCAAACTAGACATAGGCACGATAAACGGGGTCCGTTGGGACACCACGGGGATCGGGGAAACATCAAACGGGGAAGCCGGGAGCCCGAGGTAGTGTACTTTCCAGCGGGTAGCCGGTGGGTGGGGGGTCCACCCGCCGGCTGCCACTGTTCCGGGCAGCGGGTGCCCGGCGGGCAGCTGCCCGCTGCCGGAGCTGCCCGAGAATGCCGCGGGTAGGTGGCGGGTCCCCTACCCCCACCTACCCCCCACTGACTCTTTTCATCACTTTTCGCCCCGGGAACCGTTGTGGAACCCGAAACCATGCTTAGACACTTTACAACACAATTAACAACAACGAGTAGACAATTAACGGATCAAATACGGGAAACGGACGGCACATGGCCTATCATGCTTTTCTAAACATAATCAACACCCAAACATGCGATTTCCCACCCGATAATCCAAGAATCAAAGCATACGGTACAACCTAGGGTTCTAATCACTTTTATATCAACAAGAATACGATTCGTCTTCTAATTGCAAGATTCGGTAGGAACAACACATAATCATCAAGGATACCAATTAATCATCAAGAACATCATAATTATCAAGAACAACACATAATCATCAAGAATCCCAATTAATCATCAAGAACATCACAATTATCAAGAAACTCCCAATATCAAGATTATCAAGATTCCCCATGGAATCATTAAATCAATATCAACAATAATCATAGTAATTCGCCATTCACAATCATACGGGGGAAAACCCTAAGGGGAAATCATAGCTATGAAAATAGGTTTTGTTGAGACATGGGTTACCTCTTAGCCTTAATTAATTCCTTGGCTATGAAGGATCTTTCTTTAAGCTTCCTTGCTTTCTTGATTTCTCCTAAGGGGATTCTTGGAGCTCTTTCTGGGGTGGTGGGGCGTTAATCTTGTGGGGGAATTCTAGGTGCCTCTTAAGTCCTCTATTTATACATTTAGGAGTCCCAATAAGGAACTAATATTATAGGCTCGCTAATTCTATTCCTTTTGGAACTAAGGATTGGGTTTAGGGGTTGGGTTTATACATGAGGGCCCATGGACTATGGTGGGCCTTTTTCCCTAATTAATTATAATTTATTCTTTCTCTTGGGTTACTGATTAATTGATTAAATGGTTTTAGGGGCCGTAACACGGGGTGTTACATATTTGACCAAGGTCGTTTGCTCGCGAAGGAGCTTTCTTGCTTTCTCTTCTGTTTGACTGCCTCCTTAGTGTCAGCGAGCTGATTGGCCCTCTCGATGACCTGAGCGTAGGTCTTAGGATTCTCATCACTCAACTTGTTGTAATGACCGTTAGCTCGCAATGACTCAATGAAGATGGTTAAGGCAGTCTTGTCATCCAAACCCTCGACTACCAGAGTTTCCTTCTACCAGCGCGCTATGTACTTGCGCAGGCTCTCTCCTTCATCATGATGTACCTAGGCTTGATTTGAGATGTATTTCTTGGGCTTCATACTTCTAATGTAACCCTAGTGGGGATTTTATACAAGGAATATGGCATTGAAGAAGACAAGAAAGAGGAAATTAACTAAAATAGTCTTAAGAAAGCTTCTCAAACTACTAGAATATCTTCCTAATGTGAAAAAGGAAGTTACTTGTCGTACATGGAAAGAATCTTCATTGGATCTACTTTAACCACCTTTGAGATGTGCACTCAATCGGGGACACACAGACTACCTGGTCTGGTCGCCCAACCAAGCCGACTGACAAGCCATCCGAGGGGCACAAGATCCACAGGTCGTCAGAAGCCTGAAGCATGCCTCCTGACTGGGTACCCAACTAGGGGTTTATAAAGTTCTGTACAATCAAGGTTTATAAAGTTTAAATAGGGAGAAAAAATAGAGTTTAAATAAAGAGACTGAGAGAGAGAGAGAGAAAACATTCAAAGTTGTTAGAAAGAAAATTTTGAAATCTTGGGGTTGATAGTTGGATTTCAACTATTTATATTTGAGAAGGAAAAGTCTACAAAAGTCCTAAAATTAAAAAGTCTACAAAATTTCATAACTTTTTGAATACCACATGACTTTTAAAGACTCTTTAAAAGTCTTAATCGAATACCACACAACTTTTAAAGACTCTTTAAAAATCTTGATTGAATACCGTCTGACTTTTAAAGACTCTCTAACATTTTGAATTGAATACCTCAAAACTTTTAAAATTCATAAAAGTCTTTAAAACTCTATGAAAGTCATGATTGAATACACCCCCCTTAAATTCCTTTTTAATTATTCTTTAACGGGATTAATTAAATAATTAATCTGAGTTTAAAGGGCGTAACACGGGGTGTTATAAATGGTCTGTAAGCAGGTGCACCTAGCCGGTCTTGCGCCCGACTCGACGAGTTCTCACACGTGCCCTGCTTGCCTCTTCTGCCCGGTTGCCACAAGAGTTATTTGACCGAGGTCGTTTGCTCGTGGAGGAGCTTTCATGCTTTCTCTTCTATTTGACTGCCTCCTCAGTATCAGCGAGTTGATTGGTCCTCTCAATGGCCTGAGCGTAGGTCTTAGGATTCTCATCACTCAACTTGTTGTAAGGACTGTTCACTCGCAATGACGGCAGTCTTGTCATCCAAACCCTCGACTGCCTGAGCTTCCTTTTACCAGCGCGCTATGTATTTGCGCAGGCTCTCTCCTTCATCACGATGTACCTAGGCTTGATTTGAGATGTATTTCTTGGGCTTCATACTTCTAATGTAACCCTAGAGAGGATTTTATACAAGGAATATGGCATTGAAGAAGACAAGAAAGAGAAAATTAACTAAAATAGTCTTAAGAAAGCTTCTAGAACTACTAGAATATCTTCCTAATGTTAAAAGGAAGTTACTTGTCGTACAAGGAAAAAATCTTCGCCGGATCTACTTTAACCGCCTTTGAGATGCGCACTCGATCGGGACACACAGATTGCCTGGTCTGGTCGCCCAACCGAGCCGACTGACAAGCCATCCGAGGGGCACAGAATCCACAGGTCGTCGGAAGCCTGAAGCATGCCTGACTGGGTACCGAACTAGGGGTATCCATTATATATATATATATATATATATATATATATATATATATATATATATATATATATATATATATATATATATATAAACATAATAAGCCTCAATTAAGGTTATATCCTTAATTTATGTCTCTCTTTTTGTATGCAAATAAATGTGTACATTTTACTTTAAATGTTGTACATTTCAATGTTATTCGACAAAATTACCCTTACACCATTATAACACCATTAGTTTTGAATTCTAACATTGATAACACATCATTATTACCATACACCTATATCTATCATATCTTTTCTTATTTTTTAATTATTATTTTATTAAAATGATTATATATTAATTTAATGTTTAATTATATTTTAATTAAATTTCTATGAATGATAAATTATATGTGTGTGTACAAAATACATATATTATTTGTGTATATATAATTCAAATTATAATTTTAATTATTTGTATTTATTAATGTTTTAATATTGGGCATAAATTTTCGCGCATCAAATGCTAGTGTGTATATATATATATATATGTATGTATATATATATATATATATATATATATATATATATATATATATATATATATATATATATATATATATATATATATATATATATATATATATATATATATATATATATATACACACACACCATGGTTGCAATAGGCTCTAGGCGCTAGTCGGGCGGTAGAGTAGCGCCTAGACGGCCTAGGCGGCTAACGGAAAAAATGGAAAAAAATAGTGCGCACACAAACACACACACACATACATACATAAATTAGCAAGGTCGAGTCGGCCGGGTTAACTCGGCTAACTGGACAGAAATTGACGAGTTAACTCGGCGTAGGCGGCCAAGTTAGGCGCTAGGCGGCCGAATTAGGCGTTAGGCGGGCGCCTAGGCGGCCGGTCTCCTAGGCGGGAGCCTAGGGGGGAAATCGCCACGGCCTAGGGGCGCCTAGCGCCTAGGTGCCGATTACTCGGTGCCTAGGCGGGATTTTTGCAACCCTGATACACCCACACATACATATGAACGTATGGAACTGGAAAAGAAAACATAAACTATATGTGCACACAAACAAAACAAAACAAAAAATAGAAACATATTATCGTACTGTAGTCATAATGGGAGGAGTTAACAAATGATTTATAAGCGTATTTTTAAAATAATAAAAGAATAATTATTTCAAATGAGTTAAGAATAACTAATATCAATGGGGCATTCGGAATAACTATTCTCATGAAAAAAAAAAGTCAATTCTATAAAATTATATTCTTCACTGTAAAAACAGAACTAAATAAGTCTATGGAATATAATTTTTTTGATGTAAACCCACAATGTGGTGCAGGTCTGGGTCTTTCATTGTCCCAAGTTTAATTGTTCAGGTCCACCCAATTTGCTCCAAGAGACACTGAAGCTAGCCCAGAGGGAATCGTCACTTGTGGGAATCAAACATAAGTTATCTCGGAATTCTCCCCCACAAAGAGAGCTCATTTTCCACTTGAACTATCCTGTTCGGTTATCAAATATAATGTTATATATATTCCATTCCTAATAGAATTCATGAACCAGCATCACGTTTGACTTATTGTGCGGAAGATATGAAAGCATATCAATGGTGAGTGGATGACTAGGACCAAAAACACGAAACACGCGCGGAGACATCCTCCCAAATACTCTGTCGGGTCGGGGTGTGGGGAGCCCTTAGGGTTGGGGTTCAACCTTTGGAAGAACGAAACACGTGCAGAGACTTGAAATGGTTGTTAAGAGTCAAATAAATCAATGGTATTATTTATGTCCTAAAAAATTCTTCCTTTCTAAAATAATTATTTATATTATTAGTATTTGTAATAATAAATATTTTTATTAGGACTAAAAACCCTTAAACTTAGAAACACACACACACAGATATATAACCTCACTTCAAGAAAATCTCATTCCCAAAAACATAATGTCCATATCAACCCAAATTAACCTCTGCATCCTCACAATCCTCATCTTCAGTTTCCCCTTATATGGAGAATCCCAAACCAGTAGTATCAATCCAGAAAGATCAATTCTTCTTGATTTAAAGAAGCACTTCTCACCGGTGGCTTGTGGTCCACTGGTATCGGATTGCTCCCCTATGTGGGAGGTCTAGGTTTCGAGCCTCAGTGTAGGCATAGGTTGTATGGGTATCCCCCTTCCTTTGTAATAAAAAAAAAAAAAAAAAAGAAGCACTTCTCAAATCCACCAAACATCTCCCACTGGACTTCATCATCTGATCATTGTACCTGGCCGGAAATTACCTGCCGAGATGGAGTAGTCACCGGAATTCAGCTCGGTTGGCTACTAATCAATGATACAATTCCACCCTTCATTTGTCACCTGAAAAATCTGACTTTTCTTGATCTCAACCACAACTATATCCCGGGATCATTTCCTACAGTTCTGTACAATTGTTCCAAACTTGAATACTTGGACCTTTCTTTTAACAACTTCAGTGGCATCATCCCCGATGATATTAGCTGGCTTTCGCCCCATCTTGAGGTGTTTAATCTTTCTTCTAACTGGTTCGTGGGCGGCATTCCAGCTGGAATTTCAGGCCTGAAAGGGCTTAAAGAACTTCAGCTAGCTGCAGTGGTGACAAATGGCTCCCACTTCAAAGAACTTCAGCTAGATCATGGCTAGTTTACACAGCTTATTGTCAACTTAAAGAATTATATGTATGCGCTGGTCAAATTTTGTGACTTTAATTTCTGACCCTACTGCCCAATTATTATTTTTAGCTCCCACTTGAAAATAATATTTACAGATGAGATGCAGATCTTCATTTATTTTATCCCGAAAATGAACATTGATCGAAGGTTCTATTGCATTGAGGAGTGTACAAGCAGCAAAACTTAAATAAAAAACTGAATAATTATTGGTAGAGAGTGTTGCATTAATTCACCCACTTCAAGTTTATAGTTGATGTAGGGGAGAATTATTTTGGGGAGAATTCATCTGTAAAAACAAAAATAATGTCAAAAAAAGAAAAAAGGAAGAAACAAGCTGTTGTGCGCGTCTTGCGCACAGCAGCAGCCCTCACGGGCGTGTCAGGCGCGCCGATCCTGAACCTTCTTTTTTTATTTTTTATTTTATTTTTTTGATTTTCATTTTTTAATTTTGATTTTTTTTTCTTTTTCTCTCCCCTTCCCACATTCTCTTTTCTAATCACTCTTACATTATTCCCTCATTCTCCTCAACCAATGTGGATGCTAAGTCTTCCATTTACTGGTCAACAAAGCACTGCGAACGTGGTTTGAACGCAAGAAAAGAAAAAAACAAAAATTGCAGTCATAATTAAAGAAGTTGGACTATATAACTTGTCAGAATGGTTATTGTCTCTTTCATCGTGAAAGCTGCGTGGCGAGAGGCGAGAGCAACCTTATTAGTGAACTTTTTTTTCTTCTAATTTTGTATGGATTCCATTATCCATCTCATTATTTACTATTTAATTCAATTTCAAAAACTTTTTTTCAAATAACTTTAAGTTTTTTTTTTCCTAGTATTTTATGGACCCATCGATTTACACAATTATATTTTAGTTATTTTTTTATTTATTATTATTTTAAAAATTATAATTATAATTATAATTATAAATTTAATTTAATTGATAATTGTTAATTTAATAACAATATTAAAATAAAAAATTGGCACCATAAATATTTTAAAAGTTATGTTAAAAAAACCGAATTAAAAATGTAATTAAAAAAATAAGAAGCTGGCCGTTGCAAATTAAGAAAATACAACAACCAGTTAATTTTTATTTTAAGAAAATAGAAAAATTAATAAATTGAGAGTGACTGTCAGTAGTTGACGGTCACTCTGAAACGTTCAGTATCATTTATGATTATTAAAATATTTGAATACAATAGAAAAGTATTAAAACTAGACAATCAAACATAATAATTGAAATTAAATTCAATATTAAGGCATTAAAGTCCAACCAAACGCCACCCAAGATTGTCCATCACAGTTCAGAAGCTTCCTTTCAAGGGAGAAAATAATGCTGCACAAAATTTCCATTCTTTATCGCCAATCAAGGAAAATGTTTCTCCATCTAGTAGGTGGTTTGGTGTGTAATCACTAGCTTAAATGAGGGGCCCCTTTTTGGTCAAATTGTGGTATGGTTGTTGATACGGAGTAATAATCAAATTTAGAATTAATTGTTCTGGTCCCACGACTTTTGATATTCTATGACTTTTGATACACAACTTTAAATTTTTTTAATTTTAGTGTCTAACTTTATTATTTTTATCAGTTTTTGTCCTTTCGGTCAAATTGACGATGAAATGTTGTCGGATTTTATATTTTTAGAGGTGAAATCGTCATCCCAAGGAAACATCTTCAATATCTAAACAAAATAACTGTAAAATCATATTTATAGGTGTTTGATTGATGAGAATAATGGGCAAGACGGGGCAGAAATAAGACACAGATCTATGAGATTTATAGCGTCGACGATTGACAAACTCATCTTTTTCTCTTAATATGATTTTTTATATTGTTTAGATATTGAAGATCTTTCATTGGAATGACAATTTTGCTCCAAAAATATAAAATTTGGCAATATTTCGCTATCACTTTGGCCGGAAGGACCAAAACTGATAAAAATAACCAAGTTAGGCACAAAAAATAAAAAATTTAAAATTGTACAACATAAGTGATAAGATCTAAAAAGTCGTGGAACCAAATGTGAAATTAGTTCTCAAATTTAACTTGATTAGTGAATATTTTTTTTTATTTATTTATAAATGAACTAATTTAATTTATTTTAGACCACCATGTGTCTAGAATAATACAAATTCAAATTAATTTTTGTTTACATCGGATCGGCACTAGCCAACAAAGTGTTGGCTATATTAAATTTTCTATATGATAAAAAGTTTTGAACTATTGATTTCATAAGGGATGAGAGTGTACGACCACTTAAGCCTACAAAACTTGTTATTCACTCTTGAAATTTTTGTAATTATCATGTGTGTAAATGATGTGCCTATTATAATTTACATATTATGTATATTCAATTTATATACATATACATAATATATTAATTGAACGTATATAATGAGTTATAATATTATGTATTATTTTGGACCAGGTTCACAATATAAGGGGACTCTGATCTATAGTATAAATTGCACATAGTTGTTATCACAAAATATAAATATTTTTAAAAAATTTAGAAAAAGTTTTAATATTAGAAAAAATAATAATAATAAGCTCCACTCTGAGCGTCTCTGCCAAATGAAAAGGTTAAAAAGTTAGAAACTTTCATTAGTGTGGCAATCAAAACCACATAAGAATATAACACAATTTTGAGTAAGAAGATAGCCATCAAAGCTCACCTCAAAATTTATCAACAAATCCTTACTTCATTTAAACCTCAAAATCATTGCCCAGAATGCTAACCTCAACCCAAATCTTCATACTCTTAATCTTCATTTTCCCCTTATATGGAGACTCCCAGCCCAGTAGCATCATTTCTGAAAGATCAATTCTTCTTGATTTAAGGAACCACTTTTCAAACCCACCAAACATCTCTCACTGGACTTCATCATCAGACCACTGTAACTGGCCGGAAATTACCTGCCGGAACGGCGTCGTCACCGGAATTCAGCTTGGTTGGCTAATGATCAATGACACAATCCCACCCTTCATCTGCGACCTCAAAAATCTCACTCTTCTTGATCTCAACCACAACCTAATCCCTGGGCCATTTCCTACCTTTCTGTACAATTGTTCCAACCTCGAAAACTTGGACCTTTCTTTTAACAGCTTCAGTGGCATCATCCCTGATGATATTAGCAAGCTTTCGCCTCGGCTCGAGGTTCTTAATCTGTCTGCTAACTATTTCATGGGTGGAATTCCAGCTGGAATTGGAGGCCTAAAAGGTCTAAAGGAGCTTCAGCTAGCTGGAGTGATGTTAAATGGCTCATTCCCTTCAGAGATTGGCAACTTGTTGAATCTTGAAGTTCTTGTTCTGAGCCAGAATAGTTTCTCACCACAGGAAATCCCACCAAGTTTTACACAGCTGAAGAAACTGAGACTCTTGTGGATGCAACAGACCAATTTGATTGGCAAAATCCCAAAAAATATCAGTGCCATGGAAGCTCTAGAGTACCTGGATTTAAATACAAATGACTTGAGTGGAAACATTCCAAGTGACTTGTTCATGCTCAAGAATTTGACCACGGTTTTCCTCTACACAAACAGATTGTCTGGGCCTATTCCCCGTCCCGTTAGGGCATTGAATTTGAATGTAATTGATTTTTCTAATAACAGCTTGACGGGGAGCATTCCAGAAGACTTCGGAAAGATGGTAAAGTTGGAAGATTTGGCCTTGTACTCGAATCAGTTATCAGGAAAAATACCAGTAGGCATAGGCAGATTGCCCGCACTGTCTTCTATTGAACTCTTCATGAATAATCTGTCCGGTGAACTTCCGCCAGATTTTGGTCGATTTTCGAAGCTTCAAGTTTTTGATGTTTCCACAAACCATCTTACAGGATCACTCCCAGATGGTTTGTGTGAAAATAAGGTGTTGGGTACCATGGTTGCCTTTGACAACAATCTCACCGGTGAGCTAGCAAAATCACTTGAGGATTGCAACACCTTGAGAGGGGTTAGGGTTGAGAGAAACAATCTTTCAGGTACAATTCCTGATGGTTTGTGGACAGCTAGGAATTTGACAAGGTTGTTGATTAGCAATAACATGTTCACTGGTCAGCTGCCACAAAAAGTGGCACCGAATTTATCTCTACTTGATATTGGGCACAACCAATTTTCTGGTGAAATTCCTGAAGATTTATGGACAGCTGAGAATTTGGCAGTGTTGAAGATTAACAATAACCAGTTCACTGGTCAGCTGCCACAAAAGATGGCATCAAATTTATATATAGTTGATATTAGCAACAACCAATTTTCTGGTGAAATTCCTGATGGTGTTTGGACATCTGGGAAATTGTACTGGTTGTTTATTAAGAATAACCAGTTCACTGGTCGGCTGCCAAAAAACATTACATCAAATTTATCTAATCTTGATATTAGTAACAACAAATTTTTTGGTGAAATTCCTCCGGAAATCTCTTCTTGGAGCAATCTATATATCTTCAGTGCCAGCAATAATCTCTTAACAGGTCAAATTCCTCATGAACTCACTGCCCTTAGATCTTTATCAGTCCTTATGCTCGATGGGAATAAGCTTTCTGGAAATTTTCCTTCAAATATTATATCTTGGGAGTCACTATCCACATTGACATGCAGCAGAAATCAGCTTTCAGGTACAATCCCTCCAGCACTATGTCAGTTAGCAAGCCTTAATCGGTTAGACCTGTCTCAAAACCAATTCTCAGGAGAAATCCCTCCAGCACTAAGTCATCTGGTAAACCTTAATCAGCTAGACCTCTCTGAGAACAAATTCTCCGGAGAAATCCCTCCAGCACTAAGTCTTTTAGTAAACCTTAATCAGCTAGACCTCTCAGAAAACCAATTCTCAGGAGAAATCCCACCTGAAATAGGTCATTTGGCTGTAAATTCACTTAATCTGTCCTCCAATCATCTCTCGGGGAAAATTCCAGATGAATTTGAAGTTGAATCTTTTCGAAAGAGCTTCTTGAATAATCCTGGTCTCTGTGCTACTACGCCCTCATTAGGCCTCAGGGATTGTAGAGCAAAAACTGAGAAATCCAAACTTATTGCCATTATTGGAAGTTTAGTAGCTTTTTTGTTTCTAGTTGCCATTCTATATATGGTGCATGTGTTCAAGATTAGAAGATTGGAAGAAAAGAAAAGAAAAGAAGCATTGGTTCAACACTGGAAGCTTACACCATTCCACACATTAAACTTCACGGAATCAGACATTTTACCAAATTTAGCAGAGGAAAATTTGGTCGGGAGGGGAGGATCAGGGAAAGTTTATGTTGTGGCGTTAAGTACCGCAGAAAAAGTTGCTGTTAAGAGTATTCGGAACAACTACAAGTTGAGTGAGAAGGTGTTTCTAGCAGAAGTTAAGATACTGGGCACAATTCGTCATTCGAATATAGTGAAGCTCTGGTGCTGCATCTCAAGTGAAGAATCAAAGTTACTTGTTTATGAATACATGGAAAATAGCAGCCTGGATCAATGGCTTCATGCAAAGAGAAGATCACCCGGCCAATTCCTGGATTGGCCTACTAGGCTGCGCATCGCAATTGGAGCTGCTAAAGGCCTCTCATATATGCATCACAACTGCTCACCACCAATTGTTCATAGAGATGTGAAATCCAGTAATATTCTTTTAGATTCTGACTTCAATGCCAAGATTGCAGATTTTGGCCTCGCCAAAATATTGATCAACCATGGAGACCCCAACACAGTCTCAACTGTTGCTGGCTCCTTTGGCTACAGAGGCGGACCTACAGTGGGGGCAGTGGGGTCAGCTGCCCCCACTCACCCCACCCCCACCCCTTATATAACCCTTGTATGTATATGTGTATATATAGTATAAGTTTTAGTATAAAATTTAGAAAATAGAGAGTTGTTAACAAAGTGTAGTTTAGTCTAGTTGGCTAAGCGTGTGGGTTGTCAAAATGCATGCCCGGGTTCGAATCCCCTCTATCTGGTTAACGCTGAGCGTTGGTTTGTTTGAACTTTGAACGTATGCCAAGGTTCAAATACCCTTATCTACTTTACACATCTCATTTTCTTATTAACACTACATTTTCTCATTATTTCACATTTTCACTATTATATTAATAATGAGATGTATAATTTATAATGGATCTTTTATTCGAATTATTTTTGTTCATATTTTGTTATGAATATTTTTATAATGTTTTGATGTGTTTTATAATTTTCTTATATCCAACATTATTTATTTATTTATGGCTATACTTTTTAAGTGTTTCATTTTTTTTTTTCTAATTATCAATTTTGCTTTAATATTTTGCCCCCGCTGAAAAAAATTCCTGGGTCCGCCACTGTTTGGCTATATAGCTCCTGGTAAGTGTTAGGAGCACTTACCACAATTATTTCGAGATGCTAAGGTGCTGGACTTGTCCTTTTATTTTTTCGATTTCTGCCCAACAATCTCACTAGCCACATGGTGATAGACTTGGCCATTACTGGCCTCTGCCCAAAACTCCTCCTCCCAACACCAGCCAGTCTTAACTGTTTCTATCCGGCCTCCGCCCAATAATCTTAGTTGTTCTTGCTTGGGTTTCTCTTGCTAGAACTCGTCCCTCATAGCACCAGCTCTAATACCACTTGTTTGGATCAAGAATTTACCACTACGTCAAAAGCTACCACTCGTAGTGAAGACGCAAATTTATTTCCTTATGTTGCCACATATTTTCAAAAACCAGGATGCTTGACTCGACCCTTTACCAGTCTCTGTCCAATAAGTCCCTTAACCACATCGTGCTGACTTGCCCCTTACGGGCCTCCGCGCAACAATAAGTCATTATATTTTGCCACTCTGTCATTAAATTTTTCTTACGAAGTTTGTAATTTCAACCTTTTTTTAATGTCGATTTCAGAGTACGCATATACGAAAAAAGTGAACGAGAAGTTCGATGTGTATAGTTTCGGGGTGATCCTTTTGGAACTAGTGACAGGAAGAGAGGCGATTGATGAGGATATGGGTTGTGGGCTAGCTGATTGGGCGCGACACCACGTTGAAGAAGGAAATCAAATAGTGGATGCTCTAGATGGGGATATCAAGGAGGCAGAGAACTTAGATGAGATGTGTGGAGTGTTCAGGCTAGGGATCTTCTGTACTGCTTCAAATCCTGCTAAAAGACCCACCATGAGAGAGGTCTTGCAGATTCTCCTGTATTGCAGCCCACCATCACCAAATTAAATGGAAGCCAATTAAGTGTCAGCTAGTAAGGGGACATTGGAAGATGAAGATGATGGTTTAATTTTAAGCCATCTGTTGTATTTTAAAACCATAGGTTGTATCGACAGATTATGTCAAAATAATAACAACACTATTACATAATTTTTTCAATTTTATTGTGTAATTATATATGCTTTCCATATAGCTTGTTAAATCTACCAAATGAGATACACAATCTTTATTTGTCAATCTTTTCTCCTCCTCATGTTAAGCCAAAAAATACCATCATAAGGCGCAACTAATCTCAACCAAGCTAGTTAAACTATTAATTTGATAACTATAAAGTTACATGCAAGTTCGACTAGTAACATGGACAGTTTATTACTTTTCTTGGTTTGAACTACTCAATCATGAGCAAGCAAGTAATTTAGGATTACAAGGTGTGGTTTATCCAATACACATTCTTAATTAGATAGTGCTTACTAAAAGTAATCAAAAGACTCCAAGTGAATTAATTGGAAATGGTATGTAAATGTGGGGAAATAGTTTAGCATGTTTTGTGGTTTACGGCCTCCGTTTTCTATGTCAAGTTAGGCTGCTGAGTACGTGTTGACAAATACATATTAAGCAATTCCCTGAAATGTCAAATAGGATTGCAAATCAAATTTTGCCTCTTACCAAAAAGTTTTAGTTTGACAAGGAAGTACTATGCATTAAATTAGTTTAAAAGTATGCAAATTTATTGTTCACAAGTGAGAGTGAGAGTGAATGGGAGAGTCAATAATTTCTTTTAATAATATAGTGAAATTTTATAATTCATTTTAATATACATATATGTACATGCATAATTAAAAAAAAAATAAAGTAAAAATGAATTGTGTCGATTTACACCTACCACTCCGGCCAAAAACTTAACTCCACCTTTGATTACGAGTTTAATCTTTAATGTTGGTGTATGTAGCTAGTGTGGATGAAGCAAAGTTGTATGTTATTCTAATTTACTACTGGAAATTATTAAATTTCCGACCACCTGAATGTGATCTTAAATCAAGTTGAAAGAAAAAAGTGGTCGGAAATAGCAACAATGGGGTTTTCCGGATACCAAAAGTGGTCCGAACAAGGCTTTCGAATTGATTTAAGATAACTTTCAGATGGTCGGAAATTTCAGAATTTCCAATAGTGAGAGTGAATGGGAGAAAGGGTTGCATAATGTAATGGTTGAATGTGACTCCCTACAAGTCTTGAGTTGGTTAAGATGCAATGTATGTCACACCTCAGAATTTCCTCTTCAATAGTTTAGCTTGTTTTGTGGTTTACGGCCTCCGTATTCTACGTCAAGTTAGGCTGCTGATGAGTGTTGACAAATATATATTATGCAATTATTCCCTGAAATGAAACTTCCATGCAAGGCAAAAAGCTAGGGGAGACTTGACTAAGTGGGGCTAGGGTTGCAAATCAAAATTTGACTCTTTCCTAAAAGATTCAGTTTGACGAGTACTATGCATTAAGTTAGTTTAGAAGTATGCAAATTTATTGTTCACAAGTCTTTTGAGTGGTTGGTTCAAATTAACACCAATGGGTGGCGTTAATTCAATTAATTTAATATTATGTAATAATAATATATCTAATTATATAAATACTTATAAGCCAAGCACTTTGTTAGGAGGTCATGAGATCGAGCTTTAGTGGAGGCATGTAGATTCTATAATATAATAGAGTCAGTAGAATTCAAAAAAATATAAATACTTATAATCTTCATTATATTCCATCATAATTTAATTAAAATTAAAATTTATTCCATTAGTTCAACAGTTTTCAAATCAATTGAAAAAACTAACCTATAGAAAACTAAAAATTAGTTACTAAATAAAATATAGTAATAAATATGCATAATAAAAATATACATTAAACAAAACATCTACTATATCTAAATCTAAAAACATAATAAGTCTCAATTAAGGTTATATCCTTGATTTATGTCCCTCTTTTTGTATGCAAATAAATATGTACATTTTACTTTAAATGTTGTACATTTCAATGTTATTATACAAAACTACCCTTACACCGTTAGTTTTTAATTCTAATATTGATAACACATCATTATTACCATACACCTATATCTATCATATCTTTTCCTATTTTTAATTATCATTTTATTAAAATTATTATATATTAATTTAATGATTAATTATATTTTAATTAAATTTCTATGAATGATAAATTATATATGTGTGTGTACAAAATACATATATTATTTGAATATATATAATTCAAATTATAATTTTTAATTATTTATATTTATTAATATTTTAATATTGGGCATAAATTTTCGCGCATCGCGCGTACAAAATGTTAGTGTATATATATATATATATATATATATATATATATATATATATATATATATATATATATATATATATATATATCTACTATATATACTAATAATATATATACTAATAAGAGCCCAAGAGAGTTAGGCCTATAATGAGTAGAAAAAATGGCGGTCACAGATTTTAATCAAATGAATGGCTCAGATTGATTAAAAGATTGATCAGATTTAAATTTTACACTAAAATTTCCTAAAATACCCACACGCCGTTACTAATTCCGTTAAAATTTTAAGAATTGCCATTAGTTCACCGTTAACTTACTCATTGATTTCAATAAAAAAAAAAAAAAAAAAAAAAGTCTTAGGTTCGAACCTCATCCCAATCAAAGTTGGCATAATTAGTACTCTATTTTACTCTTATTAAATTATATAAATAATAATTTAGTAGTTACAACAAAAAATAATACAATGCATTTCTTTAATTTAGAATTATGTGTTCACAATGTCTTTATTCAAAAAAAAAAATTATTCATTATCAATAAATTAAATAAGATAAATAATTTTATTAGTTATATTGTCTTTATTTTTCTTCAATATAAAAATTCTTTATATTAAATTTATTAATTGATTATATTCGCTACATTGTCTTTACAATGTCTTTATTCAGTGAAAAATAAATTATTAATTATCAATAAATTAATTAAAAGAAATATTTTCATTAGTTATATTGTCTTTATTTTTCTCAAATGTAAAAATCAAATTCATCAATTGATTATATTCACTACATTATCTATTATCTTTTTTGTGCACTATTTTTCTAATTAAATATCAAAGTTATAACATAAAATAATGCTATATATTTATTTACCAAGTATTTTATTAATATCATGAAAAAATAAAAAAATATAATTAATAAAGCTAACCATATTAACTACTTGAGAGATTTTGTGACAAAGAGAGTATTCAAATCACACAACAAGTGAGAACTACCTCGCAATGTCCTTGTTTGGCAATCAGCAGTTAGCGGTTAACGTTAGCGGATTTGACCAGCGAATTTATTTAATTATTAACATTGGGTAGAAAAAATGACCGCCAAATTATTAAATCAAATGAATGGTTCATATTGTTCAGGTTTTAATTTTTTTTTCTTTTAAGATTTTCTAATTTATCCTTAATTATATGATTATCCATTTAACTTTTCTATTAATTCACCGTTAGTCTAATTCTAATATTAAAGTCTAATATAGAATTATAACTACACCATTAATCTAATTCTAATATTAAAGTCTTAATAGAACTTAACCACAAATCCTAATGTCGGAATCTCCTCAAACAATATTAGTATATATTTCATATTTTATGCCCTAATTTTTATTTGTTCTCCCTTATGTCCCGTATTTGGTTTCAACCATACCTATACAATTATTTTATTGACAATTATAATCAATATTGACTATATTATCTTTCATTTGTAAACTTAGAATTACATATTTAACCTGCACGGGCTTAGCTCAATGGTTTAGTGGGTAGTATTTGGGAGAAGAGACCAATGTTTGAACCTCGGCGGCGGCAATGCGTGAATTATGTCCAAAGTGGGCAGATTCCTTGTGCGTACCAGCATTTGGCCCTGTCTACTGAACCATTGAGTCATCGTGATTTACAACTTCCCACAATGCTCTGTCGGGTCGGAGTGTGGGGGGCCCTTGGGGTTGGGGACTCAACCTTTGGGAGAAGAATTACCTATTTAAATACGCAAATTCAACCTTCAATTATCTATGCATGAACAATTTCAATATAATCTTGCCTTAATATACTTTAAAGTACTTATTTTTAAAAAAAAATATTGGGCATTATCCCAATCGTGCAATGTGCGTAAAAAACTAGTATACTAATAAGAGCCCAAGAGAGTTAGGCCTATAATGGGTAGAAAAAATGGCGGTCAAATTTTTTTAATCAAATGAATGGCTCAGATTGATCAGATTTTAATTTTTTCTTTAGATTTCCTAATTTATCCTTAATGAATATGATTTTCCGTTAAGTTTTCCGTTAAATATTATTTTTTTCGTTAATTTCTGTTAGTTCACCGTTAACTTACTCATTGATTTCAATAAAAAAAAGTCTTAGGTTCGAACCTCATCCCAATCAAAGTTGGCATAATTAGTACTCTATTTTACTCTTATTAAATTAAATAATAATTTAGTAGTTACAACAAAAAATAATACATATGCATATCTTTAATTTAGAATTATGTGTCTACAATGTCTTTATTCAAAAAAAAAATAAAATTAATCATTATCAATAAATTAAATAAGAGAAATAATTTCATTAGTTATATTATCTTTATTTTTCTCCAATATAAAAATTCTTTACATTCAAATTCATCAATTGATTGTATTCCCTACATTGTCCCTAAAATGTCTTTATTAATTTTTTTTATTAATTATCAATAAATTAATTAAGAGAAATAATTTTATTAGTTATATTGTTTTTATTTTTCTCCAATGTAAAAACTCGTTACATTCAAATTCGTCAATTGATTATATTCTCTACATTGTCTATTATTTTTTTGTGCACTATTTTTTAATTAAATATCAAAGTTATAATACAAAATAATGCTATTTATTTATTTACCAAGTATTTTATTAATACTATGAAAAAATTAAAAAATATATAATTAATAAAGCCAATCATATTAACTACTTGAGGGATTTGTTGTCAAAGAAAAAATTCAAATCACACAATAAATTGAAGTGAGAAATTACCTCGCAATGTCCTTCTTTGACAATCAGCAGTTAGCGATTAGCATTAGCGGATTTGACCAGCGAATTATATCAAC